CGCGCGCGCTTGCGTGTTTGTGTGTGTGTGTGTGTGTGTGTGTTTACCATAAACCAGTTAACATGTTTTCTACATCTTCATAATCAAGATTTTTAAAGACGCGTTTACAAAATTGATAGGTATAGAATCGAACTATTACATGAGATAATATCATGAGACCTTACCTCCGGTCTTGATTGAGTGACGTCAAAATGTAATTCGGGATTACTAGTGGAACTCTTGGACTAGTAGAACTGGGTGTGCTGAGTTTGGGCTCGTTTTGTTAGTTATGATGAGTCCTTACCTCCTGACTTGCTGAAGTGACCTGAAGGTGTACTTCGGTAATTAACACTGTAACACCTGGACTAGTAGAACTAGGTATGCCGAGTTTAGGTTTGTTTTGTTAGTTATGATGAAACCAACACAAAACAAAAGTTCTTTTCATTTTGTCTCTAGTACCAATAGGTATCCAAGCTGATATTCGGAAAAATGAATAACCTCGTAGTAACATCTTTAGGGGCAGTATCGATATCCACTTACAAGCCACACTGTTTTTCGCTGTAACCAACTGTCCTTTATATGAGCCACACTTGCCCTCACGCGGTACCCACTTTACTGCACTTCAGTGCATCCACCACCACCTCTGCCACCTACGCCTCCACATCTACCACCGCACCCCTCTCTAAGCCTTCGTTCTCCACCTCCGTTACCTCCGCCTCTACCATAAACTCTGCTCCATCCGCCTCAACAATAAATCCCACTATTCTTTCCGTCTCCAACACAATCCTCTCCGTTTCCACTATCTCCGACTTCACCACAAATTCATCTCCTCCGCCTTCACCACATACTACGCTGCATTCACCTCCGCCTCCACGTCTCCATTCTCCGCCTCCGTTTTCTGGGCGCACACACACACAGACACACACACACACACACACACACACACACACACAAATACGCACTCAGACGAACACGCACTCAGACGAACACACACGCACGCACACACACCTGCACGCACGCACACGCACGCGCATACACACACGCGCGCTCTCGCGCTCTCACATAAATACAGACACACACACACACGCACACCTACACACACGCACACTTTTTTTTTTTTTTTTTTTTTTTTAATTTATTTATATCATTATAGTAAATACATGAGTTAAATGTAATTAACTTGCAAAAACCGTGAGGTTTGTCCGCAAGTTACAGTCTCACACAATTAAAGGTATAGTACAATCACATACATTATACAAACTATTAATACAATCATCTAATTGATGGCTGCTTATAAACAGTAACAATAATATTACGTATATACGTACATATTTTTAAGTGATAAATTTCAAATCACCGTAATTGCAATCACCGGCGTTCTGGACGGGCCGTATTGACAGAAAAACCGGTTTCTGTGAGCCCACGAATGTGAGCGTGACAATTTGATCGTTCTTATCGGGCGATCGGATTATTTAGTTGCAGAAGCAGTATACAGGTTGGTGCAAAAACTGTGAATTGATCTTTTTTTTTATCATTATTTATAGTTTTTCATTTTTGATTTGTTTTTATTCAGTTGCAAGTATACATATTTAATATATATTTATAAAAATTAGAACAATTAATTGATGATTTTATAAGTATATTATATAATTTTGTATTTAATATTTATTTACTCCCGTTGTAGCTGTTCATAGAAATATTTTTTGAATTTGTTTTTGTAGTTATCTTCATTGATATCTGAGAGTATCGTGGGGGGTATTTGGTTCATTAAAGTAGGAATTAAATATCTATTTGTACGTTTACCATAGTAGTTATATATTTTAGGTGTTACGAGTTTATTTTGTATAACTTTTCTTGTAATAGTTTTATGGTTAGTTTTAACTTGCACTTTTTTATTGTGAAATTGTTCTATTAGTATTAGCATCTGAAATTTTGTGTGTATAGGTAATACTTTGCAAAATTTAAATATTCCATTAATATTGTTTTCACTGTATATTTTTGTTTTTACTTTCTTAGGTATAATTATTTTCAATATTCTGATTTGTAGGTTATATATTTTATCTAAGTAAGTTTTAAATGTTTTTCCATAACTTGTAATGCCATAAGAAATAAGAGACTCAGCAAGAGCGTTATACAGATTTATAAGGATGGGAAATGGCATTTTGTATTTTAGTATTGCAAACTTTGCTAGCATAGCCCGTAGCTTGTTACATACATGCTCAACGTGTTTACCCCAATTGAATCTTTCATCCACAATCAGACCTAGGTATTTATAAGTGTTAACTTGTTCTAGAGGATTACAATTACAGTTATTATTAACTTTAGACGAACTATGAAGGCAGTCGTGGCTGTGTGCTAGTATTTTTATTGGTCTTTCGTATTTGTTAGAGTGCATCGAGCGTACATGTATAATTTTAGTTTTAGCAGAATTTAATACGAGTCCCGCGTCATGTGACCACATACAGAGGTTAGTAAAGTCATGTTGTAGCATTTTTTCTGCTTTTGCTATGTCTTTATTGGATATTACTAGGCAAGTATCGTCTGCATATTGATACACTGAACTATGTTTAATCACATTCCTCATGTCATTTACAAAGGCCAGATAGTGTAAAGGGCCAAGAACCGATCCCTGAGCGGTTCCCGTAGTTACAGGTATTTCATCACTGTAATCATTTTCAATTCTCACCCGATATTTTCTATCTTTGAGGTAATTTTCACACCACCTGAGTAAAGGCCCGCGTATGCCTGTATTTTCCAGTTTTTGTATTAATAAATCGTGTTTCAGAGTATCAAATGCTTTACTGTAGTCAATAAATAAAAGAATTTTGTGTTGTTTGTTGTCTAAATAAGTATTAATTTCATCGGTAAATTTTGATAACAAAGAAGTAGTTGAATTATTTTTTTGAAAGCCAAACTGGGTGCTGGACAGAACGTCATTCGATATATAATATTTATGTATCTCACTACATATATATTTTTCAACTGTTTTATCTATTACAGGAAGTATTGTAATTGGCCTATAATTATCATAATCACAGTGCGACCCCTTTTTGTAGATGGGTCTCACTATTCCTACCTTTAATTCTGAGGGATAAATACCAGAATGAACACTAGTATTAATCAACTTTGCAATTGCTGTTGTGATTTTTTCACATAAGGATTTTATGTCTATACAGCGAATCTGGTCTGCTCCAGCGGATTTGTTTGTGTTCAATTTCTGGATTATTTTATTTATGCTCTTGCCATCTGCTGCTTTAAACCGCATTGAACTATTCTGAGGAAATATGTACTCTGCTTGATCTAAAAGGTTTTGTTTACAGTTGGGTAGTATTTTTTCAACATTTTTAACAAAATCTTTACCAAAATTATTTGCCAATTGTTTAGCTGTTAATTTGTTTTTTTGAAAAGCCTTTAATATCGCCGCATCTAATGATTTATTTACTCTGCCTGTGATGGAATTCAGAATATTCCATAGCTTCCTTGGGTTATTTCTGTTATTATTTATTTCGTGATAATAGTATTTGTTTCGAGACATTTCAATAAGTTTATGTGTTTTATTCCTAATTTTATTAAACTCTAGTCTTAGTATTTTATCAGTTGTATCTTTTTTCCACTTGTTATATAGGTAGTCTCTTTTTTCGCAGTAAAATTTTATCTTATTATTTATCCATCTTTCCTTATTTCTTTTACTATTTATGCTATTTTTTGTAGTATATTTAGAATTATTATAACAGTATTCAAAGCTATTTTGAATAAAGTTATATATCTCTATCGGACACTGCATATTATCAATCTTATTCCACTCGACGTTTTCGAGAAGTGATATTAATTTTTTGTTATTAATTAATTGTTTGAGTTTTGACTCAGCCTGTACGCTGCTGCTGGTAGCCTCAGTTCCGGCGCACGATAGCACGCACATGCGGTGATCTGCCAGTACTGTTCCAAGCGCAGCCGAGTAGATGTCAGACGTGCGCGATCTCGCGAATATGTGGTCAATACAACTCCGCGTGATTTTTTCATTTCGAATCTCTATTCTTGTAAAATCAGAAATCGCTCTCGTCAGACCACACTCGGCCAAGCAGCTTAAGTAGTAATCATGAATGTTATTTTTTAATTCCAGGTCAATATTTATGTCTCCGATTATGTACAAGTCAGAGTGTTTGATTAAATTGTGACATAGTAGTACTTTAAGTTCATTAATAAAGAGATGCTTGCTTTCATTAGGCGGTCGATATAATGCGCAAATGTGAGTCGTGTAGTGGTGGCAAGATTGGATGTTTACAATTAATGATTCACAGTGGGTTAATTTTAAGTTGTTTATTACTTCAAAACTGTGGCAATTTTTAATGTACATTATAATACCACCACCACGTCGCTGCTCACGAAGCTTACTGCACATTTCATAACCGTTTATAGAAAATAATTGAGAGAGATTACTACTTATTGAAATTCCTACTTCAGTTAGTATAATGACGTCTATAGCTATTGGTGATTGGTTTATTGTTTGCAGTATTGCACTAAAGTTTTTGATAATAGATCTAATATTTATATGTACAATATTAAAAAGATTAGTATGTTTAGGTAGATAGGTACTAAATTCACATAAATTTGCCGAATCATAAATCTCAGTTACTTCCAAAGTAGTGCCTAGTGCGTAAAGTTTCTACTATCGACTTACAATATGCTCCACCGCCATTTTGTCAATGTCACTTAGGTTTCGGATGATCACAGGCTTATCGTTATCATTCTTACGAACTAAAATTCTACCGCCCTGGAACCATATATATTTATAAGTAACCTTAAGTTTTTGCTTTGCTTGCCACAGAAGGGTTTTATTTGCACTGGATAGGGCACGTCGTATCATTATCTTTGTTCTTGCTGTAGCAGGATCTGGACAGGAAACGATGTCCTCTGCAAGTATAGTTACTTTTCTTGCTGCTTTTATCCACTGGTCCACTTGTTCCTCCTGTTTGAAAGATACCTGGATCACGCCCTCCTTTCCATTTTTCCCCTTCAATCTTTTAACTGTGGTTATTTCTTTTTTTTACAATATTTAACTTCATTGCTAGTGTATTTAGGATAATTTCCGTATTTTCGTCTTTTATTTCGGGTACTCCTGCGACTTCAAATGTGTTATTAAGCTGTTTTTGCTCAAGGTTTCCAATGTATTGTTCCATAGCATCGATTTTCAGCTCTAGATGTTTATTTTGGTTTGTTAAATATGTATTCTTGTTTTCCAGTTCTTTTATTTTTCCGCTAATTGTCGCTAAAGTGTCCATTATTCCATCCATTTTTTGACAACAAGAGCTGAGCGCTTCATTTACTGAGCCTATTTCTTTCTTTACTGCTTTTTTAACCTCGAATGATATGTCGCTTAGTAACTTTTTCATCGCGTTGGATCTGCTGTCAGTTCCCTGTGTTAATAATAGTTCTTCGTCGTCTTCCTCTTCCTCCTCTTGTATGACAAATGACCTTTGCCTTGGAGTTTCACGGCGACAAACTTCGCAGGTCCATTCCAGATTCTCAGTGTTGCGCAGTGCTGCTAATTGCTTAGATGTTAGTCTGGTGCAGGCCTGGGTAGCATGCACAGTTTTTGAGCATGTGTTGCACTCGAGAATAGTGGATTTCTTGGCTATTAGTTTGTCACAGTTGTCACACTTGGGCATTTTGCGTGTTTTTATTATAATTTCAAACTAAGGGTAGAAAAAAAAAAAAAACTTTGTAAACGTAAACACAAGTCAGCTGTTTCGTACAACATCACGAGCGAGACTGTGACTTACACACACACGCGCGCGCGCGCGCGCGCTCACACACACACACACACACACACACACAAACATACGCGCGCGCGCACACATACACTTACGCGCGCGCGCTCGCACACACATACACACACACACATCCGCACATACACTCACACACGCACGCGCGCGCACAAACGAACACACATACACGCACAAGCACATACACAAACACAATATTTTTTTCACTTCACTGTAATAACATAATATGTTATTACAGTGAACACACGCACGCACACACGCACACACTCGTACCCACACACAAAAAGCGAACACACGCACAACCGCACGCACACACATACACACACACACACACACACACACACACACACACACACAGTCACACACACGTACTAAAAAAACACAACAGTGCACACACGCATACATACACTCACACACACGCGCACGCACATGCGTTCACACGAACACACGTGAACGCACATACACCCACGCGCACACACAAACTAGCATAACACACACACACACGCAAACATACGCGCGCGAACTAAATGGCACCCCCCCACCCTTACACACACACACACACACACACACACACACACACACTCGAGTGACAAATTAATTTGTAATAAAGTACTATCCATTATGGATAGTACTTTATTACAAATTAATTCTTCTAAGTGATCTATGACAAATGAATAAAATAACACAAATTCACTCACACGATAACAAAAACTCGAAGAAACGTCTTTCCACAATAAAACCTGGCAAATTTCGATCCACAAACTCAGCAGATAACGCATGTTCTTACCTTATTACTATAACGAAGTAGCCTGGGTTCTCTGTCACACACAGAACGCAACGTTGCCGCTTCGTGTTCGAGTACCTATTCGTCAATTATGGCTCCGGATCCACTTAGTCTAAGTAAATGTCGCTTATAAATTAAATATACTCTGGATCTAAAAAATCATATTCAGTATGATTTTTTCGACCGTTGATAGATCAACAAGTGTTGGTCAAATCGCTGACGAGTATATTGAAATCCTGTTAGTGCAGATCCACCGACGTCACACGCGCATCAAGGATATATCAAAGTATATCAGTTTGTGCGTATATATATATACAGTATATATATATATATATATATATATATATATATATATATATATATATTTGGTTTGGTTTGGTATTTTTGGCGAATAATATAACTGCCAACTGACACTTGCAAATAACACAAATAAAACAAACTTAACACTAAACAAAAAACTTAACAATAATAATAACAAATAACAACGAAAACTTTTGTTAACCGACTGTGCTCAAGACGGAATATGCAACACGAACATGTCACTGCTAGTGTGACTGAGACATGTTACCGTGTACCGAGCATTGCCGAATAAGCACGAAGCTTTACGAAATAACCAAAAAGGGTTTTCCAATACGCCTGCCCGAGGGCGTTGCTTAATCGATTTTTATTCAAATCAGATAGAAAAAGCATTAAGTCATAGAAATTATATCAATTTTGTAAGGAGGGTTTAAATTTTTTCAAACAGTCGTTACTTAAGATGACGTATAGAAAGTGATATTTAAGTAGATAATGTCTTTCAACTAAGAATTTAATAAAATTTGATTAGTACTTTTTAATAAAGTCGAAATCTCGTTTATTAACGTCAAAATTCACTATGTTTATAAATCTGTATTTCGTTTAATATCTTATATAAACAAAAATCAATAACTTCTTAATATAACTAATCGATTGCGATATTTGATTGAATAAAAGGTCGATTGTGTTTACATGTGTTCATTCTCTAGTTAGACCACCGCCCCCGTACGTGGCCTCATGCCACCATTTCGTTCCTAAAAAAAGTTATTGCGCAGCCTCCTACACGAAGTTCGGACTCGCCAAGATACGTCGTCCGTGTATAATACTATTGAGAAATAAAATTTGGTAAACTTTTCAGGTGCTGAACTGTTTCTTCTATCATTACACAAAATTTCGGCTTTTGAAAATAAGCAGTCTGAAGGAACTGATGTTACCGGTGATTGTGTTGTTGATATGATCGGCAAACTTCGTATAATCGTCGGTGTCATTTGGTCGATTCGAAATCCACGCAACTATAGTTAAAACTCGAATTATGCAACCCAGCTTAGTAGCACGAAATAGTAAATGATTTGCTAAAAATTACTTTTTTAATTTATTTTTATATTTAGCTCTTTGTGGATTGTGATAACGAAAATTACATATTTTTATTACTAAACTTAGTAGGTAGGATCGAAATAAAAAGGTATATTTAGTACGTTTCACATACTTATGCATTTTTGGTTTTAACCTTAGTTATAGTAAGTACAAAACTAATAAAAATATTTAACTACAAAACTAGCTATATAGCAGTCTTCACTAAAAATATCGGTCTAGCTTTAAGATTTTGGGACATAAACTATTAATAGTTTAATTATCACAGTCAAAATATTCTTAAATAACTAAGCTACATATTCCTATAAAATTCTAAAACCCAAAAAATTATTTTGGTTGTAGCTCTTTGTTGACTTTCTTCATTTATTTTCTTCGATCAATTCGTTGTAATAGGAACATTTATTTAATTATTACTACTTAAATTAGAATAATGTTTAATTTACCATAGATTGTTGTTTACTTTAAGATATAGAACAACTTATTTAAACAGTATTTCGATCGAGTATTTTCTGAATAAGTAAAAGAAAAATAATACTCAAATAATGAAATATAATCTCTTGTAAGTTAACACACTTATAAGTATTTTCAACATCAATATTTTCAAATAACTAATTATAACTTCTTCTAATTTAACAGATAAATAAGTTATTATTTTCAGCAAAAGATAATATTCTAAAAAAAAGTAAAACTATCTTCTTGAAAGTCAATAAAATTATGTTTATGATGAAATTATGTTTATAGTAAATAAAGATAAATAAAAAGTGTAACCAGTACATATTAAAAAATATAGAGGACAAACAATTATTGAATGCTAATTTGATATGCTACTGCTAATTTGATAATGCTAATTGAATATAAAATTTGGTCAACTTTTTTGCTGCTAGATGGTATCTTCTAGCAAAAAATTCCGGCTTTGAAAATAAGCGATCTAAAGGAACTGATGTAGCTGGTTGTTGTGTTGTTGATGATCGGCAAACTTCCAATAATCGTCAGTGTAGTTAGGTCGATTCATTATGGCGGAAACAAAAAGCGCGTGATAAAGCGCGCATACTGTGAATGAATAGCTCTTACTCTTTCACTCGCTCGCTTGATTGCTTGATTCGTGTACGGTCAAACGGGACGGCGGCTCTACACGTTGGCTAACACACTGCAACACGGTAAGTGTTGCGAATGTAGTGGCGAAGATATTGGCCGTGAGTTTGTGACGGCATCCACACGTTGGAAGGTCGTTCAGTTTGCTTTGATTCAGGCCAATGTGCGGACGAATTAATTTTATTTTAGACGACGGCTCCGTGGCGCAGTGGCTTACCAATGAGTGGCTGCGCCGGGGGCCGCGGGTTTGAATCCCGCACGGAACAAGTATTTGTACGTCCTATAAATAATTGTTCCGGGTCTGGATGTGTGTCCTTGTGCAATTTATGTTTGTAAGCTGCCTCCACGATACGGGAGAAAATCCTAGTGTAGGGTTAACGTTTTTATAAAATAATTATAAAAGAATAGTGGATATAAATGGGGCTGTAAATAGATATACGATTAGCTTTATTTATTCTTTACATGCATCATAAACTGGAATAAATTCCATTAATTAGAACTTAACTTATTTTAAAGTTAAAGGAGTTATAATCGATTAGTCTATGTTTTAAAATTGGGTTTTGATTTTAAAGTTTAGCAAAACATGTAGTTGCTTTTCTGTCGGACATTTTATATATATATATATATATATATATATATATATATATATATATATATATATATATAAAAACACCTTATAATTTATTTGATAATTTAATTATTTTTTGAGAAAGACAAAACAATAGCAATAAATATAATTAATACTGACTTAATAATAGGTACTAGTTATAACTTAGAACAAAAATGAAAAACTCATGACAAGGAAAGTGGCTCAGGACCATGCTTTGCGGCAGTCTGTGGAGCAGGATGTTCAGTAGTGGACTTGTGAAGAGCTGTAATGATGATGATGATTCGAAAACTTGCACGATTAAATTATAAGAAATCGACGTTGTTTTTTTATAGGATAGGGTGACGAAACGAGCATGCAGTTCACCTGATGGTAAGTGGTTACTGTGGCCCACAGACGTTTATGTCTATCCTCGATTACGAATCAAAATGCTGATGCTTTGTTACCCGTGAAGACTAAGATGAAATGCCTAGTTTCGTTTAAAAAGTGTCTCTGGTTCTCTACACTCAATATACGAAACACAGCATCATTAAGCTACTATTTTACGCTGATATTCTGTGAGAGCGTGGTCCTTCCCAGGTCGAGCCGACCCATTCGTGCTACAACTATACTTCTAATATAACTGCATGGTTCTACCACGTATAAACGACGTGCTTCATTTTTTTTTTAATTGTTGTTAATCTGATTGTAAATAAATGTTCATTATTTTTTTTTTGATAATAGCTAATCGATTAAAACAAATGTTTAAAAATAATTAAATCGCGCAAATTAAAGTAGTAGAAATGTTTGAGGTTGAAATTGGCACTAAAAGGCTGGTAACTGGGGCATCCACCCTATTAAGCTTGAATATAAAATTTTAATCAGATGCGTGCTTGTAGCAAACTAAACGCGCGCCCAACGTGTGGGCGCCAGTGTTGCCACATTGAATTACCGTAGGTCTCTAGACTGCCGTAAAAAGTCCCTAGTTATACATGAATTTAGTAACAAAAAAGTCCCCAAATGTCGCTAAATTTTATATTTTATAAAAAAAACGCGAAACAAAGATAAAATCGAACAATATATTCATCTATCATTAATAAATACATGTTAAGTGATTTATTTGTAATAGGTGATGGAATGTAGTTGTGCTTTTTTTAAATTTGTTTATTATTGTATAAGCGACATTCAGAGAACCTTTGTTTCGGTTCCCTTACATTTTATTATTTCTTTAACGGATATAGTATAGTAATCCTTACGCCTAAAGTAGACAGATGGTAACAAAAATTGAAGTATGTGCAAATGTCGCTAAAAGTCGCCAGTATATTTTTTGTCGCTAAACATTGAATTAAACTCTCCAACTAAACAAAAAACTCGTTAGATTTAGCAACAAAGTCGCTAAAGTGGCAACACTGGTGGACGCGGCGATCAAACTCTGCCAACAATCCTTTGATCTTTTGTAAAAAACCGACACCACACGGATCTCGCGCCAACTTGTGGGCCATCGTTCCAATACATACCAATGAAGCCCAAACACCCACTCTACACATTGGCCAATGCTATTGGCCACTACATTCGCCACTGTGATGGCCAACGTGTAGAGGCGCCGTAAGGTGTACAGCCAGCCCAAACTCGAGTTAGGGAGATCCAACTCGAGTTAAGCGCAACTCGAGTTGACTCGAGTTAGTAACTCGAGTTGACCCATCGCTAGAACCGCGCTCTTAGTCTTACACTGGCTTGCTTGATTCGTTCATGTACAGGCAGTCTACGTAAATACTCTTATTAGTTTTTGAGCCAGTCCAACTAATAACTGTAACTCAAGTTATAAAAAGATCTAACTTGAGTTAAGCCCAACTCGAGTTAACTCGAGTTAGCATCTCGAGTTGACTCGAGTAAGCAACTCGAGTTGACCCATCGCTATTCAATATTGAAAATGTTTAGCTTGCTACGTATTTATTTATCTATGATGTTTAGTCGCAGTCTCTGTAGGGATGGGCAAGTGAAAAAAATATATCGATATATATCGTATCGGCATTTGAAAATAGTATCGATATATATCGACAGAAAAATATCGATATATCGATATATCGACATGTTTTGCATGATCATTCATACATAATATGTATTCCCAAAACATTCAATATACGGAAAAAAAAATACACACATGAAGAAAATAGTATATTTTTATTAGAAAGTAATCTAATCAAACCAATATTCATCCGAAATTGACATTAGTAGCACTCTCTGTTTGACGTGCTCTCCTGTCAAGCGGCTTCTGTTGTCGGGTACAGTTATATTCACAGCTGATGCAACTCTTTCAGAAGAGACCGAAGAAGCCTGGCAAATTAAGTATTTAAGGGCGACTTCTGAAAGAACTGGCGTAAAATGTTGGCAATTTGTCCAAAATTTTATTGGATCAGCCTTTCTCTCAAGGAGAGGTTGATCAAGGTATTGCTTGAGTTCATTGGGCACAGAGCCAGAGCTCGGGACCTCGGGCACGGTTGTTGACTGGGATAATAATTTTTCATGCCCAGACCAAATTGAACTCTCAGTTTTTTTCTTGTGCTTTTCCTATTTGGATCGTTCTAAGATCAGGGGAAAGTTGACCCCTGCGTCGGTGTAGAAAAATATCGTTACTGTCTTGCTGTGTACATCATAAACACAAAACACAAATTTGATTTGAATTCGTAAGTTACGAGACACAAGTTACGAATCGTAATAACAGTGAGACCATAAACAAAACCAAAAGCAAAAGACAAAAGAATGCTTCTGTTTGGTCTATGGTCTTACTGCAATATTCGATTTGATGAAGATTGTAACGAGATTTTTTTAAATAAACGAAACAAGAATTGCGTAAAAATATATCGAAATTGATACGAATTCGATACTCTAAAATAAATATCGGAATGACGATATATCGCGATTAAAAATATCGACGATATATATCGATTATTTTATGAAAAAATATCGATATTTCGATATATCGATATTTTTTACCCAAGCCTAAGTCTCTGTTTGAACAAGGTATTGAAGTGTTTCCGTCAAGGTAATAATTCCTTTCGCTTTCAATTTTGAATTATTTTGTTCTTTTACTTTTATACAGTAAACTATATTCTAAATCGAATTTCTCAATTTTGTATAAAAGGCCGAAGTGTATTGTTATCTTAACTAAATTGTTATCGTTGTAGATCAGTTGATATTGAACAGAGTAATGGGAAGTTCGTACTCCAGGTCTTACTCTCCGAATTGTGGAGTAAATAAAAATGAAAATGAAAATCGTAAGTAACTTTCAACTACAATCAATAAAAACCTGCTAAAAGTTCAATAATGGTTGTGCTTATTTATATAAAATGAGTTACATATCCATATATTAAATTCCTGTTTGTCTGCTTCCATACATAAACAATTTGCAAAATCGAACCCATTACAATAACTTCCCACTGGGAAGTTTAAAAATATTAATTCGATCGGTTCTATTTAATTTTGTTGGTATTGATTTCTTGGTCCTTACAGTATTCAATAAAAACCCTTCAATGAAAAAATGGCATAAAGAGTAAATCTTTTATTGTATTCCATAAAAATATTTTATTGTATTCAATGAAAAAAGTACATATAAATTTAATAAAGAGTAAATCTTTATTAGATTTATATGTACCTACTTTTTTCATTGAATACAATAAAATATTTTATTAAATTAAATATTATAGTACTGGTATAATATTCCCTTTTATATAATAAAAGTATGTATTATGTTTGATAAATTATTAATTTATGATAAAACAAATATTCTTTTAGAACATTAATTTGTTTTAATATAAATTAATAATATTTTAAACTTTATAATTATATATCAAACAATCTACTTTTATTTTATAAAATGTAATATACCAGTCTTTCAAAATTTAATTGAAATAAAAAATATTTATGTTGTTATCCAGGTGGAACTATATCTCGTTCGGAATCAAGCAATCAATATGTGGAATCTGTTGTGTGTAAAGCAACTGATCTAAAGGAAAATGAGATGAAAGTGTTTGAAATAGGAGAAGAGGGGAAAGTATTGCTCGTAAAACAGAAAGGTGAATTTAGTGCCATAGGCACCAAATGTACACATTATGGAGCCCCTTTAGTATCCGGAGCATTAGGAGATGGAAGAGTAAGGTGTCCATGGCATGGTGCCTGCTTTAATTTAAAAAGTGGTGATATTGAAGACTTCCCTGGTTTTGACTCCCTACCGTGCTATCAAGTTACTGTTACAGAGAAAGGTGAAGTTAAAGTGAGTACTTACTTCATATTTTCTTTTATTTTCAAATTTTTCTTACACAAATTATTATCCGTTTTTATTAATGATATAATAGTGTTAATTGTCTATTATTGGATTGCTGTATATATCAACATAATAATTTCTGAATGCTCCTAGTGTTAATGAAGAATTACAAGTTAAAACAAATGAATAAGTTATCAGTGCTGTACATTGTTGCATACTATGGTAGTGCTGATTTCAAAAACTGCTTGCTTCAGTATCAGGTCATCCACATCTCTATAATATGTTTGAGGAGGGTGATGGCTGCCACATGTGTTATACTTCTGGGGTCCGGTCTACTCCGATTCACTATGTACTGATATCACATACATACATAAACACTCACGCCTGTCACCCAGAGGGGTAGACAGAGACTACAGACTTCCATTTGGCACGATCCTGACACACCTCTCTTGCCTCCTTCACATCCATACACCTACGCATACATGCTCGTCGGTTAAGGGTACTCCTAATTTGGCCCGGATAAATTTTCGCCTAGGACGTCCCTTTCCGACTCTGCCATTCACTTCTGCACCATAAATTTTCTTTGTCACTCTTTCCTCATTCATTCTTTCCACATGACCAAACCACCGAAGCATTCCGTTCTTAATCCTGGTCACAACATCATCTTGCAAACCACACTCTTCTCTTATTACACAATTTCTTACCCTGTCATTCAGATTCAGCCCTAACATACTCCTTAACGACCGCATTTCTACTGCATTTATTCTACTCTCGTGCTTCTTCTGCCACACCCAACTTTCACTACCATACGTTAAAGTAGGGACCAACACAGCATTGTGAATTGCCATACGTGCCTTTTTTGACACATTTTGACTCTTCACAATAGAGTGCAAGGCCCCATTTACTCTATTTCCCGCATTCACTCGTCGTTCTATATCCTTATCATATCTCCCATCCCTGCTAAATACGCAGCCCAAATATACAAACTCATCTACTTGCTCGATCAACTCCCCTTCTATTCTTATTTCACAAATCGTTTTACTTTCTTCTCTTTCAAAAATCACCTCAACGGTAAACTACATAACTATCTAATACTGAGCGGGCCAAAATAATTTCATATGATTTTCCTTATATATAAGTATAGATGATTTTCATAGCGAGAAGTTAAAAAACAGGATTATCTGAAGTTTTTTCTATGATTAGTAGGAACCTCCTTTTAAAATGACAGTAGTTTTGAAAAAAAAAGGACATTTGAAAAGTGAAATTTTATCTTCTTATGTTGGCATCAGAAATCAGATAACTGATTTTATATATTTTTTATAGGAACGGGTGACAAACAAACACACAGTCCACCTGATGGTAAGTGGTTGCTGTGGCCCATAGACATCTACTTCTATCCTCGATTACGAATCAAAATGCAGATGAGTTGTTACCCATGAAGACTAAGATATAATGCCTCGTTTCCAGTAAAAAGGGTCTCCGGTTCTCTACACTCACCATACGAAACACAGCAGCATTAAGCTACTATTTTACGCTTGTATTCTGTGAGAGTGTGGTACCTCCCCGGTCGAGCCGACCTATTCATGCTACAACTATACTACTAATATAGCTGCAGCATGACTCTACCACATATAAAAAATATATAAATAATTATAGAAACCAGCTATAGTTATGAGACCATATTCTGTCCACATTCATTAATGTGTAAAGATACCTTATGCTGATGACCTATTGCCTTATATGATTTTCCAATAAGAATTACAAGTAAGTCTGCAGTCTGTGAACATGTTCAAGATCGTCCCTGCCATTACATTAGATTTGTACCGTGGTGCTTTACGCACATGGTCACGGGAGAAAAAAATGTTGGGAAAAAATGACGGGCGATCCTGTACACGCTCATAGACTGCCGGCTTCTCGGAGCGTAGATTCTTTATATCAGCTATGTGTTATTTTATATGGGTTTTATTTGATCAATAAAAACCTGCCGTATGTGTAAATACATAAAAACTAGTTTCAACTACAATATTATTTTAAAACAGCTCTTGTTATACATAGCTTGATTACTATATAGATTAGGTACTCCTAGGTTGTAAGTACAAATTTTTATGTATATTGATAATGAGGTCACATGATCAATCACACTGACGATTCAACCTCTCAATGAAAAGAGAAAAAATGTAATTGCAGTTAAGGCGAAATAGTAATTTGGTTATTAATATTATAAATGCGAAAGTGTGTTTGTATGTTTGTTTGTTTGTCCTTCTTTCAGGTCGCAACAGAGCGTCGGCATGGTATAATTTTTTGTATGGGGATAGTTCGGTGGCTGTAGAGTTGACATAGGTTACTTTTTTTCACGGAAAAACATCTCATTCCCGTGGGAAAATAGAATAGGTTGCAAAAGTTTGTCCTTCTTTCATGTCGCAACAGAGCGTCGGCATGTCATGAATTTTTCGGTGTTCGGTTCGGTGGCTGTAGAAAAACATCTCATTCCCGTTCCCGTGGGAAATATTCTATTTTCCCACGGGAATGAGATGTTTTTCCGCGGAAAAAAGTAGCCTATGTCACTCTACAGCCTCATTCCCGTGGGAAAATCGAATATGTTGCACAAGTTTGTCCTTCTTTCACGTCGCAACAGAGCGTCGGCATGGCATGATTTTTTGTATGGGGATAGTTTCGGTGACATAGGCTACTTTTTTCAGCGGAAAAACATATCATTCCCGTGGGAAATTCGAATATGTTGCAAAATTAAATTCAGCTAGGTGGCGCCACCGTGATTCTACAAGACAGACCACGGTACGATAGATGAACACAGAAGGTCAGAATATCTGGATTATTATGTCTTTTTACCAAAATTAAGATAAAAAATGTATGGATCTGGATTTTTCCACGCAGGACCGGGAAGAGAGCGATAAAAAACATAAAATTCACCAGCTGGCTTCAAACGTTTTGGTGCATTGTAATTCACAGAATAGGCGTTAACCACGTAGACAATATTAAGTAATCCGCTGATGCTCTGCCTACCCCGCAAGGGTTACGGGCGTGATTATAAGTATGGATCAGAAATAATATCACCACCTGTCACGCTTTCACCCTTAACTATTCTAAATCTAATCTAATTCTAACTCAGTAAGCCTTATTAATAAGCCTTAGTAATATTTATTGAACGGAAATGAATACCGTTCTTATATGTGGTTATGAATGAATCGATATTACAATAAGAAAAATTGTGCAAAATTATAAGAAAAATATTTTTTGAGAGTTTATTAACTAACGTATACATAGTTTAAATTGATTCCGCTAGATGTCGTTACTAGGTTTTTAAAACGCGGTAACGAAATGTTTCCTGACATGTACTTAACTCCCGCCGTTGAGCCGCGCGTCGACTTATAGTGCATACGGTATCTATACGCTTAAATTGTTTCTATTTCGTAGCTTATTCGACTACCTGCTTTCGATTTCGGTTGTTTGTTATTTGCTTTGTGATTTGGTTATGGTTGAATGGATTTATATTGGCTTTCATTTTCGGATTTGTGTATTTTCTTGGATCGGTTTTATTGATTTGGTTGGTATTCCTTTATACATATTTAGACTTTGGCTTTGATTTTGGATTTTGTTTATTTAGAATCGTGAATTGGTTTTCGTTGTTTTAGGTTGTTTAACAATATTTCAAAGGAATATTAATAGTATGGATAGTGTACGGTACCTATACACTTACTTCTTTTTTCGTTGTTTATATTTATAGTGGCTACTGCTTTCGATTTCGGTTTTCTGCGTATTTTTTTGTGATTTAGTTTAAGTTGATTCGATTTTTTTTTGGCTATCGTTTTCGGATTCGTGTTGTGTCTTGAATTGGTTTTGTTGTTTTGATTTTAAAAATATTTAAAAGGAATATTTATTCCTTTTAGTTATTTTGGATTTGCTTTTAAAAAAATATTTAGAAGGAAATTTAATTCCTTTCAGGTATTTTAACGTTTTTTTATAAATAGGTTTTTTGTTACTTCAGTAATGCCTCGCAAAAGTTTTGATGTAAGGTGTGTCCAGCCTTTTGGACTGTTGCTCGTTGTTTCAAGAGTATCTTCTCAAAGACAAGCGAAAAGATTAGCTCGATCGCTAGAATCTTTAGAAGATGCTGAACTGAGAAGGCAAGAACAAGCAGAGCGTCAGGCTGCTTTTAGAGCATCTGAGACACCTTCTCAACGTCAGCAAAGGCGTCTTGAACAGACAGAGCGTCAGGCTGCTTTAAGAGCTTCCGAAACACCTTCTCAAAGTCAGAAAAGGCGTCTTGAACAGGCAGAGCGTCAAGCTACTTTAAGAGCTACTGAAACACCTGCTCAAAGTCAGCGAAGGCGTCTTGAACAGGCAGAGCGTCAAGCTACTTTAAGAGCTACTGAAACACATACACAGCACATGAATGATGACCTTTCAAGCAGGGCGTTATGTCAGTAGTAACGAGGCAGCGTGGCGTCTCCTTGGCTTCCCTTTACACGAAAGGCACCCAACAGTTACTCACCTTGCTGTGCACTTAGAAAATGGGAGAGCGTGTATATTTCACCGAAAGAAATTTCCAAGAAAGAATTGCATCACCGCCAAAAACTACACTAACAGCCTTCTTTCAACTTTGTCAAACCGACCTCTTTGCAAAAACGTTGTTATATTCTGAAGTCCCCCGCTATTATACTTGGAACACATGCCCTTGGTCGTGTGTATACCGTCCATGTAACTAATTTTGAATGTTTCTGTTTACGATTGCTGCTGCACCATGTTCTGTGTCCTACAGGATATAAAGACCTTAAAATTGTCAACGGTCGGGAATGCGCAACTTATAGAGAAGCATGTGAAGCTCTGCATCTTTTAGAAAACGATAATAACTGGGATGAAACCATGGAGGAAGCTGTGCAGTGCCAGTCACCAGCCAAAATTAGGGATCTTTATGCAACTCTCATATCATCTTGCGGGCTATCTAATGCACATGAATTGTGGGACAAATATAAAGTACATGGCGGAAGATA